ATAAATCTGATAAACGAAAGGAAAAGTTGTCTGTGATTAAAGCTGTTCATCGGAAAACATTGTTTCGATGTTGTCAATAAAATTTCTCTTCGAGGAAATATCAGATTCGTTCTGAATCTTGTGATTTTTGAACAGATCAAGCTGAATATAACGAAAAAAATAAAGGTATTTTCTCAACTTTTGACGGAGTAAAAAATGAATGAGCAATATTTTGCAGCCTTCAGACTTATGCAGAAGGAAATCGGTATAGAAAAAAAGCTGAATAAAAAAAGAACATAGCTAAAGCACTTGAACAACAAAAATTCTAATGAATCAACATTAACTGTAAATGACTAAAATAGAGGAATTGCGTAAATTTTTGAAATTACTTCTGAATAAACCTGTTTGTTCAAAAAATCAAGCCTTCAATATGAGCTCAATGTTGAGAAATAACAAGATTGTGTCATCAAGTTATCATTATCAATTAGGTTGCCCACTTAGCATAGTGGTAAACAAGTTATCATTACGAGTTGCGATGTAATTATGCGCAAACAAATATGACAACTAAATACTTCAAGATATACAAAATAAATCCCGAATTTTCAGTTGTATAATTCAAACATCTTCATAAATGAATTATTTGATGAATCGACCTGATCTTCGCAGTTGATCTCCAGCGAGTGTCACTCGTTTTGTTGGTTTCTTTGACGGACGACGATCATCCGATAACGGTTCCAAAGATCTCGTCTTCAATGACTTTCTACCACGCGTTTCTTTTTTATTCTTGCCTATCAAATAATAAAAAGTTTCTAAGCATTCAAGTGCCTGCTGTTGAATCAGAGTTAATAAATTGCTATCTGTGAATGAACGCTTCGAAACTAATACAACTTAAGATGGATTGCAAAAAAACAGTTGAACTGACAAACAGTATCTGAGTAACTTGCAAAACAGTATTTGAGCGGATAAACTTCATCCATTCAAACTGTTCATGAGATGTTTTGAGCAATTGGTGGTAATGAAATTAAGTGATAACGATGAAATTTAAGTAATTTGATTGAGGAATGGTGCACTTTCTGCTCATTACACAAGTCTACTTCAAAATCGCACTGAATCTAACAAATAACGACTGAAGAACACAGCGAATGTAGTTATATGCCTCACTTCTTTGACGAGTATCACTTTCGGGTGTTAGTTTCTTCGTGATTTTATTTGATGTGCTCGGCTTGTCTTCCGCTTTCTGAGTGCCTTTTGACGATAGTGGCAATATCGCTGTGGAATCGGAATCCTCCATTTGATCTGTACTGCTATTACCATTTGCATCGCCATCCGACCACGCATCTTGATCACTATCGGTTTCGTTTATTCGATCAACCCGTCCCGTTCTTGCTGCACTCATTCTGCACTCTTCTAACTCGATATGAGGCTTGCTGAAATGTCAACTGATGGATTCTTATAATTGTTTTATATTTGCCTCTGGCCGTCATCGTTTTCCTATTAATCAAACCAACTTAAATAGATAAAACGCAAAACGATTTCAATGAATCATGTAATTTTCGAATGAAGCGTCATTGCAGAATAACACTTTTCTAAACTTCATTTAAAAGGTTCGTGCTGTTATTGCCACTTATTCACGGAAGCTTGCATAGTTTTTAAAGGTGAAAAAAAGAATCGGTTTCTTCTCCGAGAAATAAATCACTCACACGTAATTTTTGAAGAATTCCGAAATAATAGTGTGCCAATTTTCAGGGAACCCATTCAAGAAATTAGCGACGAACTCTTTCGGATAACCTTAAAAGCATTAGAGCATGAAAGGTGCGCTATCGACTTCATTATATGATGGTGAATTGCACAACCCTCAACATATGTCAACGCATTTCAGCTGATGCAGTCATCGTAAGAATTAAAAACGATAAATCTCTGAGAGACATGTCCACTCATATTTATCAGGTAACGCTTTCGAATTATACATCAACTGAATTTAATGGAATTTCTGCTTAATAGTGCATTTGTTTTAAGAGATCTTTTGTTGGAATTTGAAAATGATACGATTGAAATGAAGGAATGTGGACCAACCTTGCTGGGCTGCAGCAACTGTATTGATAGGGCCAACAAGTTTATAAATTGTTGAAGCAGTCTGTAGATGATGAGCCTCATTCACTGCTAGAATGCACGACGTTTTCCATTCGCTCTTCTGCTCTCTGAATTCAACTTTCGTAAATTAGGCATAATTAAATTTTCCAGCCTAATTAGTCACATGACTCGATTTCGTTTTATAACTCAACTCAATCGGCGCAATATTTTTTTCTTCATTCTTCAGAAACTTCGCTACACATTCTCACTTCTCCATATCATAATGGCTTTTGCTTCTTTCTTGAAACATGAATAAAAAAGATCACATAAATCTTCAGCGGAAAACAAGAAAAATGCATTTTTCTTACATTCAATCTTAATGCGTCAAGCTTTTAATATATAATGAATGGAACGTTCTTACTCGTTAAAGCCTTCGATGACAAGTCCGAAATCATCGAACAGTTCAGATACGCCATGGTCGTACACAGAGAACAGTAGAGTCCAATTGTAGAGTTTCATTATTGCTGAATAAACGTGCTTTCATCTTTCTTTCAGTGACAGGTTTAACGAAGATTCATTTTTTGCAGAAAACAAAACGTTGATGTTCACTGATATCAAAATTTGAAGGAAATTTTCATGCAATACAATACTCACGCAAACGTTTGGTGACTGCTGGAATGGAAGGCATTTTGAATAACGCATTTTCGCCGTTTTTATCCACTGATGTTTGTGACATTCGCTCTTTCGGGTTTTGTCGTCCATCTTTAAGAACATTCATTTTCTGCGAATGAGCTTCTTGTTGAGGTTGTCGTTCAGCGTCATTTTGTTCAGTAGCGTCATTCACATCGCGGAACTCATGACGAGGTACTACCGTCGACAAACGATTTCGATTAATCGTTGTTTCAGAAGGTACGTCACTCGGCATTCCTGTAAATGGCCACAATAGAAACAAAATCATTTTCATCGGGATACTGTGTTACATACGAATCATTAGAACGAATTAGCATCTGTGATTATTCCTTCAGTGTGTCTACAATATAATCTACTGATATCAAATCAGATACTTCTAGAATTATAAAATTTCACTGGGATTGAATCTTTCAAACTCAATTATGGAACCTTCTCCAGAAGTTGTAGATGAGTGCGCCAATGAATTTTTCAGTCCACAAACAATACTCGTATCGAACCATTGTGTTGTTCTCGGAAGCCGTTTCGTCATGAGGGTGCTGTGAAACTGACGTAAAATTTCACACCAATCCAGAGGGAAACCGTCTCTGAACTGGTTGCAGAGAAGTCGTGGGTAACCTAGAATAATCGAAATATTGGGATTCCTCAATTCGACATTCAAAGATTACCCAAATTGCTTTTTCAGAAAGTTGCAACTCTTTCATAGTTGATGTTATCTTGAAATTCGAAAAAACACACACGAGTAAATAAAGGCAAATGTCTAACGTTCACAAAATTTATATAAACTAGAAACGAACCGTTAATTATGAGCACTAGGCTGACGTATTTATCGACAAATATTCAAAATAAAACGGCTTTTCATAAACAGAAAACGAACTAACCAAGAGCAAGAAGTGAGCACTCGTCGATGGTACCCTGCAGTACGTAAGTGGTTCCTGATCTTGTGACCAACTTTCTTGACGTGATTCTTTTCATAACAGGTGTACTGCGCCAATTGAACAACTCACTTTCGCCTTCATCTTTCGCTCGATATCCCTCTACAGTGACCGCAAATTCACCCCATATCACCTATAATTCATTTTGAATATCATTATCGTTCACTTCAAAATGATTACGAATTCATTTATCTGTTTATACTATCGTACTAATATTGGGCAACTGTAACCAATTAATGATAATGCTGTAAACGACCACTTGGTTCGAGCATACAACCAATTTTTCATATCATCAAAACATTAGTGGCACGCAAATGATTAATAGTTCGTACCTTGAAATACCAAAACCTTAACGCAATCGGCTCTGGTTTTCTTGGTACGATGCGACTGACCGATTGCATTTACGATANTAAGCAACTTACAATATCAGACCGTCACAAAGCAGTTTTTCAATCAATGAAAATATTCATTGCCATAATTCTCAGCAGATATTTGTTCACAGTATTTACAATGCGTTACCAGTGCACGTCTCAAGCCAACGATACTCCTCAGCTTAAAAATCATCCTACCTCTAGCACACTCTCCATGCGCTTATTACTTGAAATGACTAGGGCTTCTGTTTCAGTCCGTCGCAAAGAGCAAAAGAAGGGGTGAGAACTGACACTAAAGAATACACGTAACTCACGCAACGACCCAGTCAGTCAATATCAAGTAACACAACAAAACAATTCAAGTAATCAAAAATCACATTCCTCATAAGAACATATGCAAATAGAAATAAACGACTTCATCAACACGGCTGCATTAAATTCAAGCGATAAGTAAAAGAGGCAGTGCTTCATTAAAAGGCAGAATGCAACGTTCCTTTAAAGGTCAAAAGCTCTTTCAATAAAAGCCACATTCAAATGCCAAAACGCTTAATATCAGGCTTCAATTTGGTGAATAGTACAACAAACACGCCACGGTTTCGTCATTCATATTTTTTGACTACACGCTTTTAAACGTTTAAGTTGAATACTTCCCGCCCAGGTTCGCAGTCATGAACTTTTATCGCTTCTTACATTTCTAAGCCCAAATAACGGAACTGACATTTATATTTGGTACGTGTTGAGAAGTATGAATTTCCTACGCATGCAACGAGAACGAACTCGGTAAATTCGTGTATCAGTTTGTAGTGCCGCTCTAGGGAAAAAGCCTGAGGTGTGGGATGGAGAGCAATGGAGATAAAATCGAGATTTTCTATTTTGCTCGAGTTATAAAGATTCAACAAATAGTTGAAACTGTTGTCCACTCAGCAGGACAAAAAACGTAGCCAAGATGTATGTTATGTTTTATTCGAGACTGTGTAATTCACTAGCTTATTGTTAATGAACTCAGATCGGAAATGTTAAGTTGCGAGAGTTAAGCTATTTGGAATGATCATTGGTGATGTTCGACAATCACAATTGGCATATCCTGGAGCAATTGAAATTCTCTCGGACCTAAGAGAAGTACTTAGCAAAGAAGATGTCTTTCATCTTGTAGCCAGGATTCAGTAGTTTGCAACAATGTAATGAAGTATGGCTTGAAATGTCAAGTTAAAAGAGTCGCGTTACTTCGCATAATCAGTGCTGATGTTCAACACCACGGTTGGTACATATTGGACAGATCACCTATATAGTTCATACGTAAGATGTTATGAGGAT